ATAATACAGTATTAAACATGAAAGTGCTAAATTTTTTATACGGATAATAACTCTGAAAAAATGAAAAATCAAATAATCACAATAGATTTGTAGACAAGAGAGTTCGCCCTTTCCCCAAGAAAGCTTATCCTTGCATATATAGAATTCAGAAGCAAAGTTGAGACGTGGGTGTATCTCTCCAAGAGACATAGTAATACACCTGAAGAAAAAAAAAACACAGCCGCAGTTCATCGACTATTGTTCTGATACCCGAATTTATTTATTAGTTTTTTCCAAACTTAATATTTCTCAGTAGTTCTTGCTTATGGCTGAATCGGAAAACCTCCTCCTCAATGAATTCTATGCTGCCAACACTGACGCCACCACCGCACAGTCCCGCTTGCCACGAATTCACTTCAAGGGCCCCGCCCCCCCTCCTGTGCCGGCCACCAACGCTGACCAATGCTTGAAACCGACCCTTAATGCTTGCAAAAGCTTCAATTGGAACAGAATTGCGAACACTACTCTATGCAGGTTTCTTTCTAATTACACAATTTCTATTCCTAGGTTTGAAAACAGATTAGAATTCTCAGTTGTCATGGCTTCTAAGGATGGGAGATTCACTATTATACCCAATATAGGAGCCTAAATTATAAGAAAACTCTATATGAAATGGACTTTAGAAACACACCCAAAACTCATTTACAATATAACAAAAAAGTTTTTAACTTCTTTTAAATTACAAAACTGCCATTGATTTCTTAAAACAAACCCAACCCAAAAACCTCATAAAAAAGCCTAAAACACTCATTTTTTAGGTTTTTTTTTGGTTTGTTTATAGAAATTAAATAGTGTATGATTTATTTATAGTTTTAGTGCTAAGAATGGGTATATGACTAAATATCTCAAATATTTATTGTAACATTCCTATGAAGATCTATGCCTTATTTTCCTAAAACTTTTCGAAAAAGAAAAAAGTATTTTAGTGACCCGGAAAACCATGTTAATCAGTGTACGTATTCTCCTATCACCATCCATAAACAAAAAAAACAAGTTTTACCTCTTTTTTCTTTCTCAAAGATTTATGCAGGTTCTTGATATGTATTGCCTAGCTTCAGGCCAGTGTGTCAATTGTCCAATATGGTGTTCAGTCCTAATACCCCCAGTTCTTTAAGGGTTCAGCTATGTGAAATGTTTGGTTTCAATGGAGTGGATAATGCTGGCACCTACCTAGGTCTACCTACGATCTGGGGTAGGTCTAAAGGGGCAGCCTTGGCCTATATTAAAGATAGAGTTAGAAGGAAAATTGAGGGTTGGAAACAGAGCTCTCTCTCCTTGGCTGGGAAGGAAATTCTCCTCAAAGCAGTTGCAACAGCTATACCGGCGTACCCTATGTCATGCTTCAAATTCCCAGCTTCGGTGTGTAGTGATATAAATGGGGAGATGGCACGTTTCTGGTGGAAAAATGGAGAAGAGGGATCAAAGATTCATTGGAAGGCTTGGGAGAGCTTATGTAAATCAAAGGACGAGGGAGGCTTGGGTTTCAGACATTTCTCTTCTTTCAACATTGCCTTACTAGCTAAACAAAGTTGGAGAATCCTCCAAAATCCAAATGCAAGCTGGGTGAGAATTTTGAAAGCTCGTTATTACCCGGATTGTGATTTCCTTAAGGCCAAAAAAGGTTCGCGTGCCTCCTGGGCGTGGTCTAGCCTCCTTGAAGGAAGGAATGCTTTGATCAAAGACTCTCGCTGCCAGATTTTTGATGGGAAAAATACGAATATTTGGAAAGACATTTGGCTTCCTCCTCCCCATGATTGGATTATCAAAGTTAGGCAAATTGTTCCCCCATCAGCCCCTCAGCAAGTTTATGAGATTATGGAAAAGGAGACACATTCTTGGAAGCTAGAGTTGATTGAGCCGTATGTACAACCTTGCACTTTGGAGATTATTCGATGTTGTACAATTGCGAATACTGAGAGACAGGACAGGGTGGTGTGGCCCTGGACAACTAATGGTGCCTACTCAGTCAAATCAGGATACAGAAGAATTCATTCCCGGTGTTCATATCTAATCCATGCAACAGGTTCGACATCCAACTCAATTCCAAAAGAGGTCTGGGTGTGTATATGGAAGATTGAATCTTTGCCTTAATGCTATCTCTACCCGTTGGAATCTCTATAGAAGAAAAATTCTTGACTCCCCGGTGTGTCCAATTTGTGGGATGGAGGAAGAAACAATTGAGCACCTTTTGTTCTTATGTCCCTGGACTAATGTTGTGTGGTTTGGCGCCCCTTTGAACTACAAAGTTGATTTGAGGGGTTTCTCTTCTGTTGACAGATGGCTTAAGGGAGTAATTAATTTTCAAGGTGTAAGCAAGCGAGAAGTTCAGTTTCTGCTTACTAGTATTAGCTTCATTTGCTGGGAGATATGGAAGACTAGATGCAATTTTATCTTTAAGCGCAACCACATTGATCCCCGGCTCACTATTGATCGAGCAATGCAAAACTGTAGGGAGTTTTTAGATGCTAAGGTCAAATCTCATGTACCTTTTGGGGATGCTTCAGTTGTTCCAAACATTCTTGCCCAAGGGTGGAGGCCTCCAATGTCTAATTATGTGAAAATTAATTTTGATGGAGCATGGAAAAAGGACTCGCATTTGGCAGGTCTGGGTGTAGTTGCTAGAGATGCTATCGGATCCTTTTGTGGTGGTTTGGCGACTCCGTTCCATTGCAACTTGGCTCTGGTTGCAGAGGCTGCTGCTTGCCTTTGTGCTCTCAAGTTTGCTCTTAATCATAATTTCACCGACATTATCTTTAAGACAGATTCGAAGATTTTGGTGGAAGGAGTTAGAGGTGGAGGAAAAAATGGTGTTTGGGCTATCCAACGACTTCTGGATGAGTTTAAGATCTGTTTGTTTTAGATCGGTTCTTTGGAGCTGGGTGCCAAGGAATTTGAACCGCGCAGCACACAAGGCTGCAGCGATTGGAATCAGAGCGGAGCAACTGGAAAGTTGGGTTGTCAGGCCACCTCCGTCTCTTGTGGGAGTTTTACTATCTGATGGCCTCCCTTGTCCTCCAGGGAGGTTTTCATAAATTATTGTTGCTTTAGTTTTGCTCTTTTGTGACTTAAGGGGGTGTATTCAATTGAGATTTTAAAAGACTATTTAGTGATAAAAAAAGTCTTGCAGATTTAAGCAGAATATAATTACTTTTAGGATTTTTTTAATGGAATTTTTTAATCAAGATTTTTTACTTACGGATTTTAAAGATTTTTATTACAAGATTTATAAGATTTGAAAGGACCACATAAATTTCTTCTAGGGTCAACATAAGATTTTTTAAGAAAAAATAGACCCTTAAAAATGAAACGCTAATATTGTTTCTATCTCTTCACCATCCTGATGCCCACAAAGCAACCTTCATTCTTGGCAACAATTTCAATTGGTTCTCACCTCTGTCAAAATCATTTGTTTGTATCAAAATCTATTTCTGTTGTTGATAAAAAATGAAATTTCATTGAAACTCAAATATGGGTACAATCTTGAAACAAAGTATCATCAATCAAAACAGGGGTTCCTCGAACATAATCTTGACCACAGGTCAAAGCATATTTTGCAAGTCTATGGGCTACTTCATTACAGCTCCTTGACACATGGTCAATTGAGGCCTTCTGAAAACCAGAAAGGAGCTCTCCACAATCCTCATAAAGCATGCCCAAGACAGCTCCATTTGAGTCACTTTTGTTAACAGCAAGTACAATTGTGAGAGAGTCACTTTCAAACTGAACCCGTAGGAGACTCAGGTCTCTATCCAATTGCATCCCAACTAAGAGAGCCAGGGCTTGGATTTGCTCCCTAGCCTTCCTAACTGGCTGCACACAAGCTGCAATGAAGGTTCCTCGCTCATCCTGTACGGTGCTATCCTCAGCTTTCTAGGCACCACCCACATTAACCTTAACAAAGCCATCTCTTGGAACCTCCCTTTTTTTGGAGCCGAGCGTGGGATATTGGAGACCGATTCATCCCTCATTTGCTGATATTCAGCCAGCCAAGCCTTTGCTTGCATCACCATCGCATTTGGGTCCACACCACCACCATCCCAAATACGCGAGTTGCCTTTGAATGCCAACCTCTTCCACAACAAGAATTCTATTAATGATTTTCTAGTAACTAATCTAAATAGAAGCTACACCCTTTGGGAGCTTGCGTCGAACAGATGGTGGGCAATTTTTGCCCAGCCATCTAGCTTTGTCAAACAGATGTGTGGAGGTCCACATGTTAGAAAGCTTATTATACGCCAACAGCAGCTAGCTCTAGTTTTGAAGGTGGTTTGATCTTCATGTGAGGAAGGTGAGGAAAGAACATTACTTATACCCAGTAGTTGTTATTGGTGGTTTGGTCGCCATGGTTTGTACCCAGTGCACAACTGCTTGGGTGGAGGTCAAGGTGAGGAAAGAATTTTTTTAAAAAAATCTTACGTGAAAAGTCTGATGGGTTAAGGTGGGATTTGAGATAGGGGTTGGTACTTATACCACCCACTAAAAAATCTCACACAATCTCACATTTTAAAAAATCCTTCGAAATTAGCTAGGTTTTGAATACAATAAGACTTTTTGTTACTTGTTTAAAGTCTTGATTGAATACCACAAGATTTCAACACCCTCATTTAAAAATCCTAATAGTCTTAATGGAATACCACAAGATTTGTTTAGATTATTTAAAAGTCTTAATTGAATACCACATGACTTATTTATCTCAAAATAATCTTTTAAAATCTCAATTGAATACACCCCCTTAGGCTATTTGTCTCGGCTCTCTGTTTGGAGCTTAATTTAGGTTCTGTCTTGTTTGTTGTGTTTTGTTGGCGCTGTTTTGGCGTTTTGTTAATGAAGATCTTATTCAGACCCAAAAAAAAAAAAAAAAAGGCAAACAATGCGGTGGAAAAAGCCTTTCTTTCAGCCAATTTGTGTCGGCGAAATACACAAAAAATAATTCCCCACTCACCAATTGTGTCGATCCCTACTAGTTTTACCGTTCTCGAATCCCTATCTCTATCTGTCTGCTCTCTTCCTCAAATCCCTTGTCAGTGGGGAATTGAATTGCAGTATGTATGTATACCCGAACCTAATAGGAATCCTCAACCATAATAAAAGCCTTACCAGCCGTGAGAATCACCATTCCATTGTTCCGAAATCTAATTTTTCTTTTCTTTTCAAACTCAATCTTATCTCTCGGCATTTCTTCTCTCATGGCTGAATTGGAAAATCCCCTCCTCAATGAATTCTGTGCTGCCGACACTGGCGTCGCCACCTTCCAGTCACGCCAAGGGCCCGCCCCCAACGCCGACCAATGCCTGAAACAGAGCCTTAATGGTTGCAAAAGGTTCAATCGGAACAGAATTGCCGACAATGGTAAGTAACTGTTTAATTTTTCTCCAGTGGAATTTCGGTGCCTTTTTGAATTAATGGTTAAGGTGTCTTATTGGAAATCTGGTACTCATGGTGAAGAAGCAACTGTCAGTGGAACTAATATGTTTATTGCTTGATGCTTTTCCATTAGACTGATGCTTGAATTGTTAGAACCATTGGTATCTTGGTGGTCAATGTAATTAGACTCTTGTTTTATGATTCTTGCAGGAATTCAGAAATCTAGTGATCCTAAACAAGTTGCCAGATCTGCAAAGATATCAGAGCTGACCACCAATACTCTTATGAGCTCTAAAGGCTCCATGAAGCTTCCATCTGGATTTGTTGAGCAGAAGCAATTCAAGGCGAACACGAGTCATTGCAGGTTTCTTTCTTATTACTCAATTTCTATTCCTAAAGTTGAAATCTCACTTCTCTATGGCTTCTAGGGATAAATATTTATTGTAACATTCCTATGATCTATGCCTCATTTCTTTATCAATTTTACTGTCACTCATACTTCCGTACCTTGTAATCTCCACTATACCTTCACATTTTATAAAAACAGCTAAAACTTTTTGGAAACTTAAGAGGATGCGAAAACAGTATTTTAGTGAACAAGGATGTTTCAATTCAACCCGGAAAGCCGTGTTAATAATCAGTGTACATAACTTCCTATGGTAGTTGGCTTTTGATGAGCTAACATCATCACCATATCCAGAAACCAAGGATAAACAAGTTTTACCACTTTTTTCTTTCTCAAGCAAACAATCCAGTGGATTAAAAGGTATTTCTTTCGGGCACATTAGGTTCCTAAGTCTTAGTTTTCCCATACAACAATGTGATTAAGCACAACCATATTGGCTTGCCATCACATATATGATTTATATTGAGTAGTTTACTTGGGAGGTTGTGTTTGTACGAATTCATTTTAGTTAACGATCCATTCAATGTTTTTCTTTCTTAGAGGGCATAAATTATGTGTATAATACATTGCATGGCGCAGGTTTATGAGATGCGATACTGCTACCAAAGCAAGGAAGAGAACCCAATTGTCTCTTGGATTGCCGACCTCTAGTAAGTTAAAAAGATCAAAGAGATCATCATCAACAGAAAGAAGAACATCAATTGATGATCTATCTGACGTTATATTGGCTGAAATCCTTTGCCGACTTCCATGCAATAAATTTGTTTTTCAATGCAAGTCTGTGTCTAAGCATTGGTGCACTCTCATCGCAGATCCTTATTTTATTGGC